GCTTATCCATGAGAGGCCGACATTTAAGCCTGTGGATGAGTGTACCCGTATTACATATCTGTATCAAGATATATTATATTATATTATTAGTTTTGTCCATAGGGTAACTCCATTTCCTTAGCAGAGATTATATATTCAAGCTGATAGGCTTATGATCAAACTACAGTGCCTCTTTGTATGCCGTCACTTCATCTAAAATGGTATGGTATTTGATTTGGTCTGGTGTTATTAACCATTTGGATGTAAGGTAAACAATTGCAATGGTATCCAGTCATATTGTAGTGCACAGTACATTCCACTCCAATAGGCATTAATTACAGCTGAGCATACATTTTTTATATATTTGAATAAAGGTAATATATTTTAGATTCTTCTGTGTCAGCTGCAACTCTCACTCACAAGTCTCTGTCTGTCAGGAAACTGTGGAGATAAGACAGCTACTGTGTTACTTTTGTTATTGTTTACAAATGTTACATTGAATGATCACTGCCACAGTGATTGGCTGCCATAGTGATCATTCAGTGAGAAAGGCTTTAGAAGGCTGCCAGTTGTGAGATTGGAATCTCCTCTTTCTACCAATACTAGGTCCCACAGGGGCTGTGCAAGGCAGCAAGCAGGGGGGATAAGAAACTGCAGACAGTCTCCTGGACCTAACACACACCAAAGGTAGGGAATTTTTTAAGTAACCTGCAAATACCTTAGTCATTATTTTGAGATCAACATTTATGTGAGAGATTGGTCGGCAGTTAGCGCAATCACCATGATCCTTGCCTGGTTTGGAAAGGTTGTTTATGAATGCATTGTTTTCGAATGGCAAAAGGGAGGAGCCCTCTCTCATATCATCAAAGAAAGAACATAAATGAGGGGTGATAATTTCTGAGTACTTCCTATAGTAGTGGCCAGAATTTTGGTCTTTTTCCGTTTATTTAGCAAAAAGTAAAAACATCTCTATTTATAATAACAAAATTATTAAAATTTAGTTTGGGTACAGAGTTGCATTACCACGCAATTGACATTCAAATTGCGACAGCGAGAGCTGAAAAATGGCCTGGGCAGGAAGAGGGTAAAGGTGCTTGGTGTTGAAGTGGTTAACTTTACAGTATATACCCATTCTCAGAGTGCCTCCAGGTTTGTGAAGAAGCTTAACTAGTGCAAAGCGTTGAACTGAGCCACTCTCAACAAATTCCCTATACCTAAGATGGGTGTGCCATATGAATGAAGAATTTGTGAAATATGGAAGTTGATATACAGAAGCATGGTTTGTATCTTTGATGCATAACATGAGGCATTGTATAATTAACAGGATTTTTAAGCATGCTCAATATTTTTTTGTACAATTAAGATAAGAAAAGTTTAAATCTTATAATCCAGTTATGCTATTGTTAAGGGGATACACCTTAAAAGTCTCAATATTTAGTTTGGTTATTATTTATGGTGTTCTCTGGGATGTGTTGCAGACTGACAGGTGCTCAATCCAAAGGTCTTATTTCAGTCTACATTTAGGAAATGGCAAGCCTTTGTTGACAGGGCAAATCCATTAGCTCAAAAAATATCAGGATAAATAAAATTTCCCATAATAATAATAATATTGCCCAGCTTCCCAGCCATTTTGGTATGTGGAAAGAGCTGAAACTCCTCCACATCCTTTATGTTAAGGGCCTATAACATACTTTGTTGCATATTTAAATTTTAAAAAACTGTGTTTAGTGCAAAATAAAATAATCCACCAAATAATGTGTAGAGCAGCACTCAAAAAACATCAAGATACACAATAAATTCTAAATTAAAAAATGTTCTTTGTCCCTTAGAGTAGAATAATACAAGAAAATAATGTGAATCACATATAAACACAATGAAGTATAATTAAGAAAGTCCATTCTGTGCCATAAGTGATACTTCACACCTTCTGAGACACCTTCCATCACCAGCACAACATTTTTTTTATTTTGATTACTTTGTTGCATACATTTAATATTTGTTGCGCTCTCATGGAGCTCCTGCCATAATTACTCTGCACCATCACAGTTTTCTTTAGAGATATCATCTCTCAAACTCACTTTCAGATTACACTTCACATACCCCTGTTCTGCCAATTCTGTCCCTTCAAGATAGAGTGTACCCTTCAATATTTGCAGCCCAGTCATGTAAATGTCAACTAGGTTTCCGATATTGTTATGAAGTTAAAATTCTCCTCCTAATAACAGAAGCTCAAATTAATCCGATTTGTTTGCCAGGCTTATTGCATTTTTGAACAAGCCTTTTAATTTTGTATGAACAGTTAATATTCTATTATTACTCATTATTAAGTTATAACTTGATGCCGCTACTCTTTTTGTATTAGACTTAGGTGATGAAAATTTGCATGCCTTCTAGTTTGAGCCCTGCCCCCCCTCCCCCCCCCCCTCTATTTCACCCCCTCTTTATCACATTCCCCTGTGGACCTTTGTTCTGCATATTACATTTTTTTTTCTGATCCCTTCCTTCCCCAGATCCTTTTTCAAAAGCCTTTCCAGCCTTCTAACCATTGTTTAGCTGGTTTTATATGGAAACTACACCTCCTCTCAATTAGATACAGTCCATCCCTACAGTAGAGCCAGTATTTGATTGAAAATTCAACCAAATTCTCAAAGAACCCAAAACCCTCCTCCTTTCATCAGATTCTCAGCTACTAGTTCAACTCCCTAAGATAGCTTTGCTTTTCTGATGTGGCTTGTGGAACAGATAGTATTTTTAACTTGGTATCTAAGTCTCTAAAATCTTTTTTCAGGATGCTTACCTTTCTCTAATTTTGCAATTTTCAGCAATCTGTACCATGACAGTTGGGTCTTCCCCAGCCCCGCCCAAAATCTGTCAATCTAATACACAAAGTGTTGAACTCAAGCAAACTATTTGGTGATAGTAGTTTTTATGACAAATTACCCTTTGCAGCCTTCTAATAACTGAATCCCCTACATCAGTATTTGCCTTCTTTTGCCTACACACAGATTCCTATCTTTACTAGAGCAGTCATTCACCTGGATGCTATATGAGGCAATCTGCTTCAGCAATGCTACTTCTAAGCTGATATCTCCAATATTATGCAACCAAGCATGTTTATTGGGATGTATCAACTCACCACTAGCCTCTCTAATGCTTTTCCTTCTACCCTACTTTCTAAGTTTAGTCCAGTTACCTACCTCTGACCCCATCTCCTCCATTTCCTTACTCTCCCTTTTACTGGCCCCAGCCAGCACCTTATGGGTGAGGTCCATACTCCTCTCCAGAATGTGAATGCTCAGCACTGTTACCAGTTGATTCTTCAGATACAGGAACTGGGCTTCCAAAAACATCTTTCTAACATATTGCACAACAGTGAAATAGGTATGGCTGTTATCTCTGATATAAAATAATCACATTTTTAATTCAGGATAAAACCTGCCACATCTCTCCCTCTTACACTGTGGCATAAACAAGCTTCTTACATATGGTCCAGCCACTGTACAATATCTGTGCCTACTATCACGGAAATAAAAATAATCTAATTTTTATTTCAGGCTAAAACCTACCTCATGTCTCCCTCTTACATTTTGGCCTAAACCTGTTTACATACTGTCCAGTTGCTGTACAACATGTGTGACTATTTTCTTTAAAATAACATACTCAAATTTTTATTGCAGGATACAATCTTGTCTCACCCTATTACATTGAAACCCAATCAAGGTACTCACATAGTCTCCAGTCACTCTATAATAACAGCGGTTCTCAACCTGGGGGTCTAAAAAACCCCTTTGGGGGTCGAACGACCATTTCCCAGGGGTCGCCTAAGACCATCGGAAAACACATATTTCCGATGGTCTTAGGAACCGAGACACCGCTCCTCTGACTCAGTCGATGTGTGTGTACGGGATGACTCGCTATATTGCCTATGTCACCTGGCCACACCTCCGGGAAACAACTCCGCCTCCTCGCCGCTGATTGGCCACCGGATGTGGCATGCATTTTGTAGCTCAGGAGAGGCACACAGGCGGCCATATCACCGGCGAGGAGATGGAGCTTGGAGAGGAGGAGCCGAGCGGCTGCGCGCGTAGATCTAAGAAGATCGAGGGAACTGCCGGAGTAAGTGAAGAGGAGAGCGGCCAGAGAAGGAAGACAGCTGACAGGTAAGTGAGAGAGCGAGCCCAGGCTGGAGCAGGGGTCAGCAAGGTAAGTATCATGGTGTGGCAGTGGGAGGAATAGTGCCCCATCATTTGTGTGACTAATACCAACAATGGGGCACTATTTCTCCCACTGACACCAATGATGGGGCACTATTTCCTCCCCCCCCCGCACTGACACCAATGATGGGGCACTATTCTCTCCCCCCCACTGACACCAACGATGGGGCACTATTCCTCCCCCCCACTGACACCAACGATGGGGCACTATTCCTCCCCCCCACAGACACCAACGATGGGGCACTATTCCTCCCCCCACTGACACCAAGAATGGGGCACTATTCCTCCCCCCACCGACACCAACGATGGGGCACTATTCCCCCCCCCTGACCCCAAAGATGGGGCACTATTTCCCCCTCCACCACACTGACATCAATGATGGGGCACTATTCCTCCCACTGACACCAATGATGGGGCACTATTCCCCCCACTGACACCAATGATGGGGCACTATTCCCCCCACTGACACCAATGATGGGGCACTATTCCCCCCACTGACACCATTGATGGGGCACTATTCCTCCCACTGACACCAATGATGGGGCACTATTCCCCCCACTGACACCAATGATGGGGCACTTTTCCTCCCACTGACACCAATGATGGGGCACTATTCCTCCCCCCCCACTGACACCAACGATGGGGCACTATTCCTCCCCCATGACACCAATGATGGGGCACTATTCCTCCCACTGACACCAATGATGGGGCACTATTCCTCCCACTGACACCAATGATGGGGCACTATTCCCCCCACTGACACCAATGATGGGGCACTATTCCCCCACTGACACTAATGATGGGGTACTATTCCCCCACTGACACCAATGATGGGGCACTATTCCCCCCACTGACACCAATGTTGGGGCACTATTCCCCCCACTGACACCAATGTTGGGGCTCTATTCCTCCCACTGACACCAACGATGGGGCACTATTCCCCCCACTGACACCAACGATGGGGCACTATTCCCCCCCACTGACACCAACGATGGGGCACTATTCCCCCCACTGACACCAACGATGGGGCACTATTCCCCCCATGACACCAACGATGGGGCACTATTCCCCCCACTGACACCAACGACAATGGGGCACTATTCCCCCACTGACACCAACGATGGGGCACTATTCCCCCCACTGACACCAACGATGGGGCACTATTCCCCCCACTGACACCAAACGATGGGGCACTATTCCCCCCACTGACACCAACGATGGGGCACTATTCCCCCCCACTGACACCAACGATGGGGCACTATTCCCCCCCACTGACACCAACGATGGGGCACTATTCATCCCACTGACATCAGTGATGGGGCACTACTCCTTCCACTGACACCAATGATGTGGCACTGGTCCTCCCACTGCAAAATTACAGTTATGAAGTAGCAACGAAAATAATTTTATGATTGGGGGTCACCATAAACATGAGGAACTGTATTAAGGGGTCGCGGAATTAGAAAGGTTGAGAACCACTGCTCTATAATAAAGTGTCTATTACTAAAAAAAAAAAAATGCTGTGCGAATGTCTCAGAATCCACACTGTCATCAAAATTAATTAATAAGGTTTCTTATATGTGTGAAATTTAATTTTCAAATATATTGCCTATGATCATTAACACCATCTAGTTGCAATAATATGCTATTATTATAGGAAAATACAGCATTATGACCACTATATGGAGTTGGTTGCATGGCTGCATGAATGCTGAGCTATTTGCACAGCAAATTATTTCATTAATAGTACTCATGTGGCTATCATTTCTGAAATAGTAAACTTAAATTTTTGTTTCGGGATATCACTTGCCTCATCTTTACCTTTTTATATTGTAGCTAAAAGAATCTGATCAGATATTGTCTATCCACTGTATAATATGTGTGGCTACTGTCACTGAAATAATTACAGTCTCATTTTTTTTCTGGATGAAAACTGTCTCATCTTTCTCTATTACATCACAGCCTAGCTAAGTTGCTTACATATTTTCTAGGCACTGTACAACATGTGTGGCTATTGTCTCTGAAATAATATACTCTAATTTATATTTCAGGATAATTTAAATGAATCATATTGGGGGTGTTGCTGCTGTATTTAAACTAAGCAATAATGTAAAAAGCAGAAAAAAAAACAATTACACCACATTGTGTGATGCCATAATAGAGTGTTGCTTTTCTGTCCCTGAAAATAGTACTGTTTTTTTAACACCATATACAGCTGAATCGTAACTCCCAAGCTTGTAATTAAAAGGATTAGTATTTTTTTCTGATTTCTCCCTTAAAGTCACATTAAAAGCAGGAACCTGGTTCTGGAATGGTACATGCTTCCCATAGCAGTGCCCAGTTCCCTATGGCCTTTATTTGATCCATATCGTTGTATATTAGCCTAAAAAATAATCACAAATAATTATCAAGATTTGCCCCTCATAATGGTATTTGATTTTACTGTAACTTTGGAATTTTCAGACTTTCTACATGATTTGATGAACACCTCAAAACCAAACCAGGGCACTTTACGATATCTCTAATATTAGCTTTACATGATCTAACTGGCTACAGTTATCAGAATACCATATTTTTAGAGACGTAAAAGATTAAAAGACCATACCATAAACACATTTTAATTGTTTATTATTAAGAATTTGTAAACATCCCAGCTCAACTGAATTGTACTCATGAAGAACTTCTTATATTCTGTGCTCACAATGTACTGACTATACAGTAGCAAGAAGGATAATGCTTGTTTTATACAGACAAGAAAGTGAAATAGAAAAAAAAAAAAAAGAGAAACAGTAATTACTGGAAGCTCATAGAAGAGACAGTGCCCCTTGTGTTACTTGACATCTAAGAATTATTCACCAGCCTATTTTCCTCTAACTTCTTTGATCATGCTGTGTTCATTGAACTCTAAAATAAAAGACAGTTTTTATTTGAATAAATGTTAGCTCATGTCACATTTAAGACTACATTTTAAAAACTGTCTTATTGAAAAACTGATATCTATCACTGCATATAAATCATCTTTAAGGTACTCGTGTGATCATAAGGTGATGTGCGAATGTATCTGTCTGAACTGGAATTGGACCTTATTGGGCCAAATTTCTAGATGAAGCTCCAATCCATTTCTGCTGATACACATGCACTGGTGGGACAGTTTGCAGACTTTCACATTGCCTTTGTATGTCCTGAAGGCTTCTCTTCTGCTTACATGCTTTACATTAGCCAACAAACCTTTATATGAAAGTACATCAACTGCTACACTATATCACTATATTGCCAAAAGTATTGGGACCCCCCCCCCTAAGTAATTGGATTCAGGTGTTACAATCACCCCCATGACCACAGATGTATACAATCAAGCACCTAGGCCTGAAGACTGCTTCTACAAACATTTGTGAAAGAATGGGTCGTTCTCAGGAGCTCTGTGTATTCAAGCGTGGTACCGTGATAGGTTGTCACCTGTGCAATAAGTCCATCCATGAAATTTCCTTGCTACTAAATATTCCATGGTTAACTGTGAGTGGTATTATGACAAAGTGGAAGGAACTGGGAACAACAGCAACTCAGCTACAAAGTGGTAGGCCTCATAAAATGACAGAACAGGGTCAGCGCATGCTGAAGTGCACAGTGCGCAGAAGTCATCAATTGTCTGCAATAGCTAAAGACCTCCAAACTTCATGTGGCCTTCAGATTATCACAACAACAGTGCATCGAGAGCTTCATGGAATGAGTATCCATGGCCGAGCAGCTGCATCCATGCCTTATATCATCAAGTGCAGTGCGAAGTGTCAGATGCAGTGGTGTAAAGCATGCCACCACTGGACTCCAGAGCAGTGGAGATGTTTTCTCTGGAGCGATGAATCATGGCTCTCTATCTGGCAATCCGATAGACGTATCTGGGTTTGGCGGTTGCCAAGAGAATGGTACTTGCCTGGCTGCATTTGCAAAGTGTAGAGTTTGATGGATGGGGGATTAAGATGTGGGGATGTTTTTCAGGGGTTGGGCTTGGCCCCTTAGTTCCAGTGAAGGGAACGCTTAAGGTGTCAGCATATCAAGACATTTCAGACAATTTCATGCTCCCATCTTTGTGGGAACAGTTTGGGGATGGCCCCTTCCTGTTCCAACATGACTGCACACCAGTGCACAAAGCAAGGTCCATAAAGACATTAGTGAGTGAGTTTAGGGTGGAGGAACTTGACTGGCCTGCACAGAGTTCTGACCTCAACTGAATAGAACACCTTTGAGATGAATTAGAGAGGAGGATGCGAACCAGGCCTTCTCATCTGACATCAGTGCCTGACCTCACAAATGTGCTTCTGGAAGAATGGTCAAACATTCCCATAGACACACTCCTAAACCTTGTGGAAAGCCTTCCCAGAAGAGTTAAAGCTGTTATAGCTGCAAAGGGTGGGCCAACTCAATATTGAACCCTATGGACTAAGACTGGGATGCCATTAAAGTTCATGTGTGTGTAAAGGCAGGCGTCCCAATACTTTTAACAATATAATGTATTTTTTTACTGGGCAGTGAATCAGCACACCAAACATGTTCTGCAGCAATGTGCCCAAATATATACAAATGCTGCAGAATGAGACTCCAAGAGGCCCAGAGAGGAATTATCACTGCTAAACAAAACTTTGTATCTCTACTTAATAAGCAGTAAGAAGGTTAGTGAAACATCCATAACTTTGACCTTATGTTGGAAAAAAAAATCCAATACAGTCAATCACCAGTTCTCCAAATATTGATAAAAGGCCAATGTTAGATAAATAAACATCTGATCAGGTGATAATCCTATAATATTATATAAGAGTATGCTACATGTCTACCTGACCTTCAAAAACATTTATCACAGAAAAAATGCCTACCTCTTCAAATACCCTTCTCTTTAAAAATGAACTTTGCCCTTATCACAAAAATTACAACAAAAGCACATTTAGAAATGTTTAGTAATGACAATCTACCTTATTGCATACCTTATTTTTCTTTCTTCCCCATGCTTGTCACATTTGCTACTAAAAGAAGATGAATTCATGTCCCATTACTTCCTTAATTTTTTTCTAGAACTCTGGGTCTGCCCTCTGGAACACGTGACAGGAACTTCTCAGGATGCAGCTGTGGTTTATATCACCAGTACCTCACTCAACCAGGAAGTGAAAGAAAACCTGTAATTATTTGTTAACTAATGAATGTAAGATGATTTCATATCAGTATACAGAGCTGTAAGTGGATGGGATTTTTTAATGAAAAGGGGAAAAGGTCCCCTTTCATTACATACTGATTGTTACTTACTGGTTAAATTGCTTCAAAGTACATCATAGCTATTTATAGATGTTAATTTGTCATTTGAACTTTGATTTTTTTTTTTGTTTGGCAGGCTTGATAATAACTGGATGGTTAATGGCAAACAAAGAACACCACAAAACACTCTAGGAATACCACTTCTTTTCCTTTTGGGAAGGGATGTGTCCAAACTTACATAATTGTTATAGGTTGACTCTGTTTAAGACAAGCACTGGAGAAATATAAAACATAATATATATATAAGAAGGTTTATATAAGCATGATTATACTTATTTGTAGAAAAAAAACTACTATATAGTAGCAGCAGCATTTGTCTTTTTTCAAACCTGTTTTATGCACACTAAGACTATGGACAAGGAAGGCAACATTGTTAGCTAATATGTCTTGTCAGTGCTCAGTTCTGTGCTTCTAACACTGGAAGTTTGACATCAGGATGAAAGAGTAGAGTAAGCAATAAAGTGATTCCCTCATCAATGTGCAGTCGCCCATTTATTATTGTCCAAGTATTATGCTGGAACTGTGTACCAGAAGTCCAGGACTAAAAAAAATGTGTCTAACATAAATGACTGAACAGGATTACAAATCTTTTAGTGAACAAAAAAAGTTTACATATACTTGTATTTCACTGTTACATTTAGCATTTTGATTGGAATTTAGCTGTATAACAGATACATTGATGAAATACCAAAGTATAGAAAACAGAAAGGGCCAGGTAGGAAGTAATATAGTATTTTAAAGCTCATCCTGAACCTTGTGCTTTGTAATATTTGGCTCACCTTATTTCAACAATGCTTAAAACTGAAGGAGTCACTTTTTTTTCTTGTTTCAGTGCTGATGGTTTTTATGTCCATGGCCAGTAATGATTACTATTATTTATACATCAATTACCATTGCAGTTAAGTGCCATTCTCTTTTGTTTAGATACTTTATGCTTTTATATGAACACTATAGCAATGTAATAATCTCTGAAATGTAGTTTACATGCTTCCTGGCCCTTAAGACCAACTACAGTTCATTGTGCAACCTCCCTCCTACCTCAATCAGCTAATTACTC